AATTAAGTAAAAATGTGAATTTCTACGCACAATCAGTTTTCAACAAAATCGATTTCGGTTTTTGATGTAACTTTAAAAGAAATGACCAGATACATGAAATTTTTCACCAAATATTTATATAAGTATATTCTATATCGACCATACAATTTTCAAAAAATTTAGACATAAGTTGAACTATTTATAGGCATATTCAATTTCGATAATTATTAGTTTTTATTAAAAATTAATATCGATAAAAATTTATTTGTAGGGTAGAAAGGCTTGAAAATGTAATACAAGTCTACTAGCATATTGTTACAATACCAGTTGAAAAATAAAAKAAATACATAGTCACAATTTTTTTTTTTATAAGCATTCAAAGTTTGAATTTCGACAAAATACGTAAAAATCACGAAAATTAACAAATTATTTTAAGCTAGAAATTTCTTTTCAAATCCAAGTTTGTCAACCTTCATAAAAAAAGTCACCGGAAAGTCAAATATTCTAATAATTATTAATAATAAGTTATAATAATCTGTAATATATYATAGACAGATAAACCGTCTCCGCTCAGGATCGTTTTTCGTATACAAWAGTATAATATTATTGGATTTAAATTTAATTCCATCCATTACAGTAACCCACTTGTAACCTACTGTACAGTAGAGCGACGTCCACTTTCCCGATTTTTGATTTTGAACAGTTGCTTAGATGGTTTTTAGACGAGTAAATACTTAGCTACAAATTTTGAGGAGGACACTGATACTTGGACCATCTAATTTGAACTTATAATTTCTTAAAAAATTAAAAAACCAATCACTTCAATATTTGATATTTGATTCAATGTGAAATGAAAAATATAGAGTTTTGTTTGAAAAAAGTAAAACGATTACTTTTCTTTCTTCTTTTTCCTAAAACATTTGTGCATTTTAATGTTATAGGGAAGTTCCGCTTTAAATTAAGTTACATAAAATTGTATGTCTATTGGAATATAAAGTATTATGCGGTAAGAGAATCATCCGACATCCAATGTATAATATTCSTATGTCACGGCTTACGCTACTTATAATTTTCACGCATGTTTTTTTTTTCTTTTCATAGTTTATACTTTGAGAACCGAATGACCAACGAAAGTCTTTCACTAAAAGAACACTATAACCGACCATCCGATTTACAGATGAACTACATGGATCACCTTATCAGAGGACTGTCCATGCAGAACACACAAAAAGTCGATATGTTATTCACGCAAACGGTATGTTGTTTTAGCAAGACCTTAGACAATCAAGATAATCATATCGCAACGACTTTGTTTTTTTACATAATTAAATTACGTCATTAAAATACGCGTATTATATTATAATATTATTATGGTTATTAAGAACTAATTACTAAAGGTACATGTTTAAATTTTTTTAGATTACTAATTACTTATACAGTCATCAGGACAATATGTTTGGCATGGACATTGTCAGCTTAGATATTCAACGKAGCCGYGATCACGGCATTCCAAGTTACACACAATTTAGAAAATATTGTGGACTAAAAGAGATAAAAAATATACAAGATTTGACCCAGATCATGGTTAAAGGAGTGAGTTTTAAAAAATGTGAAATTACAGAAAATATGTATACTGTACTGATTATTTTATTTCTGTGCGTTTTGTTTAGTCAGCTAATAGATTATTGAGGCAATACAAAACTTGGGACGATATAGATCTATTGATAGGTGCATTGTTTGAGAAACATGAAGACGACGCTATGGTAGGACCAACAATGAGGTGCATCATTAGAGAACAATTTATAAGAACTAGAACGGCAGATAGATATTTTTATGATTTACCAAAAATATTCAAAAAACGTTAGTATTATTAAATTATTTTTGTATGAATGTACTTCATATTAGATGAACATCTTTTAATTGTAGATCAACTGGCAGAAATCCGAAAAGTGACCCTTGCCAGAGTCTTTTGCGATAACAGTGATAATGTCACTAAGATGCAGCAACGAGTATTTTTTAAACCTGTATCTGCTGAAGATGAATTACTACCTTGTGATTCACTATTGATTCCAAAAATCAACCTTAAACATTGGTTAGAAACGGTTGATACAAATAAAAAATAACTTATGCATCAGTCTAAAAGGTCATAAATGTTAATGGCTATTTGACTTGTAATTGAAGGCTACTGACCACAGATAACTTGTTATTCTTTTTAATGTTAGTTGTATTACTAGCAGTTTAAAACACTTGCGTCATTAGCCTACGTATAGTGTAAACATAGGCTTTCACGATAACAACTATAAATGATAAACTATACAATTTAAACAACAAATTCCTTTAGAGAATTTAGGCAAATTAGATTTAAAGAAATTRAATTAAATGTTTTTTTAATAAGTTAAAACTAGACAATTATATACTTTATAGTGTAGGCATTATTTGATTTTTCATACTGTACTTAATGAAAAAATTAATCTTATGTGGATTGTTATCCAAATTTCCTATTACATCACTGTACCTTATTAATAAATTGTAAATTATTAATAATAAAATACCAGCTTAACACTTATTTTTTTAAATATAATTATTATTGTATTACCTTTGAATTTGTGATCTTATAAATAATAATTATTAATTATATAAGATTTAAACATGTACTTGTTTTTAAAATTTGAAATCTCAAAGGGTAAAATTAAAAAAAAATTTTTATCTTATTTTTAATTTTTTATTGTTAATTATTTAAGTGATTTTTTATGTAGTACTTATAACTAATTATTATATTTAATAATAATAGGATGTATGGGATAATATTTTTAAGACCTCAAATACATGGATATCATCCCAATAATAGTAACGAGAGATATGGTTGTTAAAAATTTGCTATATCAAGGTAGACCTTATGTATCGAAAAAACAAATACATAATATGATACAATTAATAATGACTAGCACTTTAAGTTTTAGCTGACAGGAGTTGCATATTTTTCTATATTATGATCTCAATTATAGCAGACCCGTCTAGAAATCTATTCCATAAAATTATGAGTTAAAAAATATGTGTATAGTCTAAAAATAATTTAATTTGATTATTTATAGATTTTATGCTCAATTTTATATTTGTTATTTTCTAAAGATTTATACAAAGTAACAAAAAGCACATGTTTTTTTYTCTTATCCACTATRAGAAAACTTTTTGTTAAAACTTGACGTCRGTAAGCGGCACAATAACATACTATTAATTTAGTCTAATAAATATTCTACCATATTTTAATATTATCATAGCTATTTGATCATAAAAAATTATAATGCAATTAATTATTAAAATGTTACAATTTTGTTTTTTTCGACGTTTCTTTTCATTTTATAACAATTTTGACTTTAATAACTTCCAAGTCTTAATAATGAGTATTGATCAAGGAAAATCCAAAGAGCTTAGTTTGGATATAAACTTAATTTCCACTTACTATTTTCCTTATTATCAAATTAATTTTTATTCAAAATTTAAGAAATATTTAAACAACAATAATTAATATACTTAATAACGCAAGTTATTAATGTACTCTAGTAATAACACTTTATTTTTTAAATATTTCTAAAAAAAATCACTATATTATGAAACTGTAGGTAGGTAATTAATTATAAACTTATATCAAGGCACCTATTATAATGTAATTAAGATTAAAACATCTAACATTTTAATAATACTTTTATTAATGAAAAAACATTTAGTGTTGACATTAAAATATGTCAGATAAATTTATTTAACTTTTGAGTTTAACAAAATACGAAATATTTATATCATAATTTTTTAATAATTTTAATAGGTACATTAATTGTTACGTATGATGTCAAAACAGCAATAATAATACATTTTTTGTTTTTAAAAATCATTAAAATGATTAGAAAAATGGCCAAATGATAGTTATAATACATAATTAAAGTAGCAGTCTAATTAATTGTATATTTAATAGACTTACAAAATATAATTTCACCTATTTAACACATCAGATGCATTATCATTAGGAACATCAATTAGAAAAACAGTATCAATATTTTCCAGCGTTTGTCTAATAGTCGTTTCAAATTGCTTACGATGAATGGCAAACTCCATGAGATCCTTTGGTTTTGCGTCCAACCAAAATTTGTCAAACTTCCAAAATAAGTAACAATAGAACTCGTTGAAATCTTCATATTCAGGTGCATTGCGCTTATTGTAAAAATGAGTCTTGGCTGAACCATCATCAACTAATTGTAATGCCATACTYGTTATATTTATTCCAACAATTGCAAACGCATATCCATGGATTGGATGCATTGAATGTGATAATGCACGCCTGGCCAAATGGGTATATTTTGATGCAAAATATACCAAATTATCCAGYCCTAATATTCCCATGCCTCGAAAATCAGTTTTTGGGTCATCTCCTTGGAATCCAATGTCCTGCCATTGTTTGGTTACTCTATTTTCTAGACGATCATTTGGCATCAATTCATCCCACAAAAGTAACAACGATTTTTCATGCACATCATTGGTGCAATCATATTGAATGGCTGCACTTGCCTTAATCTCTTCTACTAGTTGCATATATGACCATATATTGTTCACACATTGTCCAAGAGCGTTGTTAAATTGTTCATACTCACACTGGTCAATACGCTTAACTCGTGTAATTGTCGACACGGCGTTTGGTACCAGAATGGATCGTCCCAAGTAGAAACTTCGGTCTGATGCACGAGCGTCTAACACAGTGAGCAGACCGCGTATTTGGGGTCTGTTAGAATCGCGCAAGGATCGTTCTACATTCAGCGTTCTGCGAGCGCCCACCGGTTGAGCATAACATATGCGTTGCAGTTCACAGAGCTTAGTGGTCTGGCGCAAGAACCATTTAATCACTTTCCTCAAATACCAATAGATATAATTCCGTACTAAGTATAACCACATGACTACGGGCGGATAAAAGTCGTACAATATCGGGTTTTGACTTATAGTTCGTTATATAATAGCTTTGTGACTGGGTAACTTACCAGTAGAGGATCGTGCATGTCGATTGTCAAGCGAGTCTGGACAGGCCGGTCTTAAGCGCACGTGACGTCTCTTCTTGGCTGAAATAGAACTTGTTCAAGGCGATTAACCGTGGTAAAACGTATCGGTACCGGCCCTGGGCTGAACACGAAATGTGAATACTCGAGAATTAAGACGAATGACGACAATCGTTAAAATATATAATTAAGTTTAGGTACCTATTAATTATTAATTATTATTTATTCATAATAATTAATGATGTAGCATACTTAGCATGTATAACAATTAACAGCAGGCTGCTGCTGCTGCTGCTGCTGCTGGTACATACAACAACTTTACTACCTACATAGGCTATCAGAAATCAGAATAAAAATATGAAACGAACACGATATCGTTTTTAGATAACGCACAGTGTCGCCGAAGGTTAGATGATAACGTTTTTAGTTTTTTACACCCAACGCGGCTGTGGTTGTGCCCGATACGATAACTACCCACAACCGGCACAACCCAATATGTACCAATAACTTTTTTCTTTACAGAACTTTTGATTCCGAATTTCACATTAAGATGAAGATATGAATTATTTTAATACTTACGGACGACTGCTGAAGTCTCCTAGTGACTTAATCTTCAAACATTTTAATTCGACAATACGAGTCGGTTTAATATGCAGGCTCCCGATGGAGTATCGAGATCTTGTTGGGAGGCTTCGATAATTTTTGCGATAACTTGTAAAAAAACATTAGCCTATACCACATCCACAGGTGCATAATATTTATCGTGATGCCGGGTTTTTGCTATACAGTGGTCCGTGGCATGTAAAGAGTTTAATAATTCAGTATTCAACCTGTATATTATGTAACGGTCGTGTGTTACCAAAATGTTGTTGTCTACGTGGCTACGTAGTACGTATTATTAAACGTGCGGAATACGACACGTCACGGTGTACTGTGTATAGGTGTTGTATAATTTTGGAAAAGAGAGAGGGCGGCTGATCCTCACTGCTTYCACCGCGAGGAGCCGAAAGACTCGGTGGATCACACGCCGTTCCATTGTCCGTACTGGGAGGAGGGTAGGCGTGWWATGGATCGGTGCATCGGTCGGCGTCTGCGGCCCGAGGATGTCCCTGATATCAGTCTGGAGCCGGAGCAGGAGCTCTTTCCAGATGATATATCAAGGAGACGGCGGATTGTGGCATCGGCGGAGAAGCAG